TCGCTCTAGCGTGGTTTTCATTCCGTGTAATGACGGCGTGACCGATATCAGTGGCAGTTCTTAGTAAATGCTCTAGTCTGGAGGGACAAAGATCGCTTCTAGAGTGGGAACTTGTACCAGTGATCAAGGTACCGATCAAGACTAAAACAGTCATTCGCGCTGTTATAGATCAGCCTCAGAATATTTGGCAAAGGATATGTATGTCATTTTGCTTCGTGATAATACATCAGTCGTTTTTGTTATTATTTTGTTGTGTATATAGAGTTTGTATTTGAATATTAGATTGTAATATTGTTATGAAAATAGTCCTATGACGAATACGACATTCTTCCAATAGTTATAAATTGTTGAATTTTTGTTCTGTTCAGTGACTAAGATTTTATAGATTAGTAATTATGAATGTTTGATATGACTAGATAATATCCCGATGAACAAGATTTAATCACGACAACAATAGATTTTATTCAGTTTTGAAACAAGCAATCGAAAGGATGATTTTCAGTTTGAAAATATGATTTCTTTTTTAGAGTAGCCATGGCTCAAAATATCTTAAATAAGATTGTATATGATAATGTAATTGACAGGAACTATGCAGTGACCCAAGTGATATTTTGATTTATAGGTATTTTTATCTAAGGACGATATTTAGTTAATCTGGACGATGTAAGAATAATAATAATTTTCTTTTACATAACACATCCATGTCCAATGTGCTTCTTACGTCATTCTTATTAAATAATACAAATATGAACCTCTTCATTTTAATCTAACCTTCAAACAATTCATAAGCCAATTGTGGGACCCAACCTCATCTGCTTGTGAATAAGTCACTTGTTTACTTTGTATATCTTAGGTATGCCATGTATAAGATGTAAATGTCCAAAGAAAAAAAATTGGATTTCTTAATCAATAATATTATCTTCGCATGAAAACAATTGAAGGGAGAAGAACATGTGAAATTGTTATAAAAAATTACGCTCGCACACCTCTTTCATTCACTTCAAAATAGTTCGGTCTGAAAGCGCATTGTATTCAGAAGTATACGTTGCTTCTACTACTAAATTTCAAATGAATGGAAATCTATATCAACGCCCAGCCCTTGCATTTATAACAGCAAATCGTGTGGTTTAAATCTTGTGTGAACCATACACGAATAAATTACATACAAAATGACCTTAGTGTTGTAGTGCCACGCAAACTTCCTCTGATCATCGCACAACCGCGTGTGATAATATACATACAATCAATCATAAACCTATACTATCTAACACTTTACACATTAATACAGCTATCCAGAACCTAAAGCATTGTACGAGGAGAATTTTGTGGGTCGGAGATGGCAGGTCACGTAGATCGGCACGTAATCTACTATTTAATACAGGTGTTGCAAATCTGTCTTCGTTTAGGAGATGGACCGAGATTTTACCTGACCAAAGCAGAATTTACCCGATTTTCTTTGTTGATGTCACTAAAATATTTCTATGTGGAGTTTGTTTTCAATGTCGAAATCATTTTACTTGTAATGTTATCCTCTACGACCCCCGACCCCGAAACCTTTACTTCTATTAATTGGATTTCGAATCCTTTCTCATTCTCCAATTCCATGAGATTGAAATATCTATATTTTCTCTTTACTTTAATGAAATGGTTATACTTTACGCAGCCATCGCCTAAATGTGATATTCTTTTCTCTGCGAGGATGTACACTGATACCAAGAAGTTCGTGTCTTCACCTATTTTACAGGTTAATAATATTTTAAGAATAATATCTAATGCCTCACTCTCTCTCTCATTCACTCTCTCTCTCTCTCTCTCTCTCTCTCTCTCTCTCTCTCTCTCTCTCTCTCTCATTCACTCTCTCTCTTCACGCTCTCTCTCTCTCTCTCTCGCTCTCGCTCTCGCTCTCGCTCTCTCGCTCTCGCTCTCGCTCTCGCTCTCGCTCTCGCTCTCGCTCTCGCTCTCGCTCTCGCTCTCGCTCTCTCTCTCTCTCTCTCTCTCTCTCGCTCTCGCTCTCTCTCTCTCTCTCTCTCTCATTCCTCTTCCCTCTCATCCTTTGATTAGAAATTGTACCATTATGGTAATAGAGAATGCGTCCTACCCAGATTCTATTCCCTCTTAGGCAAGGAGGAAATTCCCACGCTTATCGTGCACTTCGATCGGTGTCATTATATCCTGAAGCAAGTAACGTAACCCTTTGGTCTCCTGTTCCGACCGGATGGGTGGCGTGATTCAGCCCCGGTCAAATCAGACTGACTGGCCCAGTGCCTTGTCAACCGGACACTATACAGTCGGCATCGGTCAGGTCCCGGGAATGCCAGCAGTACTGTGTTGTCCACGTAGGCTAGCTCTTGGTGTAGATAGTTGGACCGCGTGGCGGGCGGGAGGCTGGGGAAAATAAGGAACTGATATAGCAAATCGTGCCTCTCTGAAGGGAATCGTTATCAGGCTCATACTATTCCGGAAGGGGATTGATTTCAGGCTCTACTGACCTTAGAGCACCTTTTGACAGCCCCACCGGAACCACAATGGCAGCTCTACTCTGAAGCATTTATGTCATCCTAGTAGTATTTAGCATCCAGTAAGAGGGGTAATCAAGGAAGAGGGGCTCTTTAAACCTTCATGGGATCTTTATCCAAATCTATACACGAAACCCGTAACAATCATGTGGTTAAGACCTCTAAATGTGCATCCATCTTGCTCTCTGTGACATCTGCGATACAAGTTTGCTGAAGTCCTCCAACATGATCCGGCCACCATTCCCCTTGAGAGATGGTATCCTTCTGGTCGATTCTGTATCCCCAGATTAGTACAACCGTGCTAGTACGACATACGACATACAAAGGCCAAACTTCTCATGTAACCTTATTGTTTCTGTGAGTGCTTTTGAGGCAGTGACATGAAAGCGCCTCGAGGTAGTTGATGGTGAGGCACATCCTTCTCCCACCCAGCTCTTGATCTATGATGTTCATCCATCCCAGATGTATCAACTTGGTCTCGGATCACTTCCAGCAATCTCTCACCACTCTGCATAACGCCCCTGATAAGAAAAGTTTGTGCATGATGATGTCCAGAAACTGTTTAAAGATGCTGCAAGAGGATGTCATGTTTTCCTGACAAGAAGGGCTTCTTATTACTTACATAATAAAAGATATATAATTCTTATCAAATGGGTACTCGGATGCAATAGGACTCTCCACATCCATACGAAAAAAATGATTGCAAAATCTAAGATCTGAAACTCACTGGAAATTCTTACAAGATACCGTTACCAGGAGATCGACCAGGTTTCACTGAGGAGGTACCGAAATAAGTTCATTATGGGCCATTGCTTGTCTAGCACATTTATTATTAACCATTAACCATTAACCATGGGCCATTGCTAGTGGGTCTCAAAGTGCGATGAGGCCTCAAAATATACCTTTACAAACTCCGTATCTGCGAGCGAGGATGGTATGCACTG